TTGATAGATTCCACTTACCAAAATTAAATCAAGATCAAGGAAATAGATGAAATAGTCCTATATCCCCCAAGGAAATAGAACCACTCATCAAAAGTCTCCCTTCCATCTGGAAAAGATCATCCTGAGTGAGCTATCCCAGAAGCAGAAAGATGTGCATGGTATATACTCACTCATATCGACAAATAATATAGCATAAACCTACTAAAACCTAAAGAAACTAATGAAGAGGGAGGACTCTTGCTAAAATGCTCAATACCTATCCAGAAAGGTAAAGAGGATGGACATCAGAAGAAGGCAAAAAGAGGAAACAAGGCAGGAGCCTGACACACAAGACCTCTGAAAGCCTTTGCCCTGCAGACTATCAATGCAGATGCTGAGACTTATGGACAACCTTTGGGCAGAGTGCAGGGAATCTTATGAAAGAAGTGGAAAACACTAAGATCTTGAGAGGACAGAAACTCCACAAGGAGAGCAACAGAACCAAAACTTCTGAGCACAGGGGACTTTCCTGAGACTGATACTCCAACCAAGGACCATGCATGATGATAACCTAAGACCCCTGCACAGATGTAGCCCATGGAAGTTCAGTATCCAAGTGGGTTCCTTTGTAATAGGGACAATGACTGTCTCTGACATGAACTTATTGGCTTGCTCTTTAATTACCTCCCCTTGAGGGGGAAGCAGCATTACCAGGCCACAGAACAAGACATTGCAGCCATTCCTGATGATACCTAATTGACTAGGATCAGAAGGAAGGAAAAGAAGACCTCCTCCATCAGTGTACTTGGGGAGGGGCATGCATGCAGAGTGTGGAGGAAGGAAAGATTGAGAAGGGAGGAGGAAGGGAACCATAGGGAGGACACAAAGTGAATAAAGTGTCATTAATCAAGAAAAAAAGTCTCCCTTAAAAAAAAAAAAGAAAAAGAAAAAGAAAAAGAAAGAAAGAAAGAAAGAAAGAAAGAAAGAAAGAAAGAAAGAAAGAAAGAAAGAAAGAAAGAAACAATAACCAGGGCCAGACAGTTTCAGAGCTGAATTCTACCAGACCTTCAAAGAAGAGCTAACTCAAATTCTCTTCAACCTATTATACAAAACATAAAAAGATGGAACATTACCAAACTCATTCTATGAAGCAACAGTCACTTGATATCTAAACCACACAATGACCCCACAAAGAAAGAGAATTTCAGACCTCTCTCTGTTATGAACATTGATGCAAAAATACTCAATAAAATATTTGCAAATCGAATCCAAGAACATATAAAAGATATCATCCATGATGACCAATAGGCTTCAACCCAGGCATACAGGAGTGGCTCAGTATACAGAAATCCATCAATATAATCCACCATATAAACAAACTGAAGGAGAAAAATCATATGATCCACTTCTTAGATTACAAAAAAGCATTTGAGAAATTGCAACACACATTCATGTTTAAAGATTTGGAGAAATCAGGGATACAAGGCACATACATAAATATAGTAAAGATATTATAGAGCAAGCCTATAGACAACATCAAACTAAATGGAGAGACACTTAAATCAATCTCACTGAAATCACAGACAAGGCAAGGCTGCCGACTCTCTTCGAATCTATTCAACATAGTCCTGAAGTCCTACCTAGAGCAATAAGACAAATAAAAGAGTTCAAGGGGATACAAATCAGAAAGGAAGAAGTCAAAGTATTATTACTTGCAGATAATATGATAATGTACATTAGTGATGCCAAAAATTCAACCATAAAACTCCTCAGCTGATAAACACTTTCAGCAAACTGGCTGCAAAAAAAAAAAAAAATCAGTAGCCCTCCTGTATACAAAAGGCAAAAGGGCTGAAAAAAGAATTTAGGGCCACTACACCTTTCTCAATAGCCACAAATAACATAAAGTACTTTGGTGTTACTCTAACCAAGCAAGTGAAAGATCTGTTTGTAAAAAAAAAAAAAAAAAAAAAAAAAAAAAAAAAAAAAAAAAAAAAAAACCTTCAAGTCTCTGAAGAAAGAAATAGAAGAAGATAGCAGAAGATGGTAAGATGTCCCATGCTCATGGATCAGTGGTATTAACATAATGAAAATGGCCATCTTGCCAAAAGCAATCTATCCATCTACCCATTCAATGCAATTTCATCAAAATACCAACACAATTCCTTACAGAAATTGAAAGAAAAAAATCTCAACATAATATGGAAAGATAAAAAACACAAAATTGATTTTAAAATCCTCTACAACAATAGATTCTCAGGAGGTATCACCTTCCCTTATTTCTAGCAGTTCTACAGAACAATGAAAAAAAAAAAAACGTATGTTACTGGTATAGTAACAGAATGATAGACCCATGGAATCAAATAGAAAACCCAGAAATAAACACATACACCAACGGATATTGATTTTTGATAAAGATGCCAAAACCAAACAATGGAAAAAAGCATCTTCAACAAATGCTGCTGGACTAACTGGAAGTCTACATGTAGAAAAGTGCAAATAGAGACATATTAATCACCCTGAACACAACTAAAGTCCAAGTGGATCAAAGACCTCAACATAAAAACAAACACACTAAATCTGTTAGAAAAAAAATTTGGAAAATGCATGGAACTCATTGGCAGAAGACAACTTCTTGAACAGAACACCAACAGCACAGGCTCTAAGATCAACAATCATTAAATGGGACCTCATGAAACTGAAAAGCTTCTGTAAAGCAAAGGACACTGTCATCAAAACAAAGGAATAAACTACAGACTGGGAAAGTTTATTCAACAAACCTGTATCTGGCAGGGTGTTAATATCAAGAATATGTAAAGGACTCCAGAAGTTAAAAAGCAATAAGCTGAGTAATCCAATTTAAAACCGGGGTACAGAGCTAAACAGAGTTCTCTATAGAAGAATATCAAATGGCAGAGAAACACTTAAAGAAATGCACAAAGTCCTTGGTGATCAGGGAAATGCAAATCAAATAGACACTGCGATTTCACCTTACAACAAAAAGAAGGGCAAAGAACAAAAACTCAAATGACAAAACATGCCAGAGAGAATGTGAGAAAGGGAAATCCTCCACCACTGAGCCTGGGAATGTAAACTTGTACAACCACTTTGTCAGACAATTAGGAGCAGTACTTCCTCAAGATTCAGCTTTAGTGCTCTTAGACATATATTCGAAATATGCCCAAGCACACAACAAGGACATTTGCTCAACCATGTTCATAGCACATTTATTCATAGTAGGTAGAATCTGGAAACAACCCAGATGTCCCTCAACTGAGGAATGGATAGAGAAATTGGGTACATTTACACAATGGAATTTTAAAAAAATTTCAAAACAAGGAAATCATGAAATTTGCATGCAAATGGTGGAATTTAGAAAAGATCATCCTGAGTGAAGTATCCAAGAAGCAGAAAGACATGTATGGTATATACTCATTCATAAGTGTATATTAGATTTATAACATAAACATACTAAAATCTGTACACCTAAGGAAGCTAAGCAAGAAGGAGGACCTAGGGTAAGATGATGAATCCTCACTCAGAAAGGTAAATAGTACAGACATAGGAAGTGGGAGAAAACAGGGAACAGGACAGGAGCCTACTACAGAGGGCCTCTGAAAGGCTCTACCCAAAAGAGTATCAAAAGATTTCCTGAGATTCATAGCCAAATTTTGGAGGAGTGCAGAGATTCTTATGAAAGAAAGGGGAGATAGTAAGACCAGGAATGAACAGGAACTTCACAAGAAAAAAACAAAACCAAAAAAAATCTGGGCACAGGGTACTTTTCTGAGACTTATTCTCCAACCAAGGTCCATGCATGGAGACAACCTAAAACCCCTGCACAGATGTAGCCCATGGCAGCTCAGTCTCCAAGTAGGTTACATACTAAGGGGAACAGGGGCTGTCTCTAACATAAACACAGTGGCTGGCTCTTTGATCACCTTCCCCTAATGGGGGAGCAGTCTTACCATGCGACAGAGTAAAACAAAGCACCCAGTAGATGAGACCTGATTAACTAGGGTCAGATGGAAAGAGAGGAGGTCCAACCCTATTAGTATAGTGAGGGAGAGGAAAGGGAAGAGGAGAGGAAAGGAGAATGGGATTTGGAGGAGACGAAGAAGGGGGACATAGCTGGGATACAAAGTGAATAAATTGTAATAAATAAATAAAAATCAGATGCATATATGCAATAGACACAGACATATAGACCAAAGCATACCACATGAGCACTTGCCCAGAGTTCCTCATCTTTCTGTGTGCTGATAATGCAATCCAGGTCTTTCAAATTTATACAACCTTCTATAATTGCAGAATTCAACTATTTATTATATGAAAAGAAAAAAACAATTCAGACATTCAAAAGAAACCAAGAGCTGGTTCTTTGAGAAAATCAACAAGATAGGCAAACCCTTAGCTAAACTAACTAAAAGGCAGAGAGAAACTATACAAATCAACAAAATCAGAAACAAAAAGGAGGCCAGAATGACAGACACTGAAGAAATTCAAAGACTCATTAGGTCTAACTGCAAAAGTCAATACATCATAAAATTTGAAAATCTAAATGAAATGGAGAATTTTCATGACAGATAATTTACCAAAGCTTGAGAATTCTTAATCTAAACTAGTAGTCTCAGGATGATGTATTCTTTGTACATAATTTTAAGGTCTATCCTATTTTATATAGATTCATTGTAGTCTAAAGACATAACAAAGAGATATCTAAAGTCAGCATGACACCATAAACTTCACTGATGCTTCTTGTTGTACTGTATCTTCTCAGTGCAAAACCACACCTTCTAAATCTTTTTACTTAGTTTCTCCTTTTTATCTATACACACCAGTGTTGCCAAAAATATAGAAGAAAAGAGGGTATCTCTTAATTAATTTCTACAGAAGGTTGCATTAATTAGTCATGTATAGCAGATCTTAGGCAGAAGAGGGAAGTGTGCAGGCCCAGGGCTCTGTGTGGTGCAGGCAGCTGGTGAGATTGTCAAGGAGGTTTGTGTTGGAGGCTGAAGCACTGTGGGAGGAGTATAGTCATACTGCTGACAGTAATAAACTGCCAGGTCTTCAGCCTGCACACTGCTGATGGTGAGAGTGAAATCTGTCCCAGATCCACTGCCTGCGAAGCGATCAGGGACCCCAGTGTATCGAGTGGATGCCCTGTAGATCAGCAGTTTAGGAGGCTGCCCTGGTTTCTGCTGGTACCAAGCTACATAACTCCTCACACTCTGACTGGACTTGCAGCTTAGGGTGATTCTGTCTCCAACAGATGTGGACATGAATTCAGGAGACTGGGTCATCATGATGCTTCCATCAGCACCTACAACCAGAAATAGACAATGAGTATACACATATACACAAAAAGAGTTCCTGATACAAGTGTTGGGATCTCAAATGCCTTTTCTAATGGCATTGCCTGCATATAATTGGTTTCCTATAGTAAATAGCTGTTTTTTTTTCTACAAATAAATTGTTTGGATGATATTCTAATACTCTTTAATGTCTCACCAGACATCCAGAGGAGCAGGAATATGAAGACCTGGGTCTGTGACTCCATCTTGGTGCCCCAGGCTGTCTGATGCTTTTCAGTTCTCACTGCAAAGGCCTGGTTTATAAATTATGGGCTGATGGGCTGTCTTGGAGGGACCTATGCAAAACAGTCATCACAAGAGAAGGTAAATAACCAGCGTTCTGGGCTGTTTGAGAATCCAGGTTAAATTTTCAGCTAAAAATATCATCAAAGCGAGCACCTAATCTCTGGGGGAAAAAAGTAAACAGAAGCTCAAGGACCAACTTAGAGCTCTCAATCTAAAAATAGCAAGATGCACTCATGACAGGCTTCCATTAAAAAATCAAAAGCATTTAAATAAAGTGAGTTTAATAGAAATAATACTAGAAAACCTTTGATTACAATCAATATCCTAATCAATAACAGAGAAAGAAACAGAAGAAGCAGAAAGAAGAAAGGAAAAAGGAAGGGGAAAGTAGATGAGAAAGTGAGAGAAAGGAAAGAAAAGAGTATGGAGAGGAGAGGGAAATCTGGATTGGAGAGGGATTGGAAATGTGAAGAGGATAGAATAGTTGAGCAGATAAAGGAAATACATATTAAAACAGAAAGGTTTGGGAATACAGAGTCAGATCAGTAGTTATGAGCATTTCATCTCTTATAAAACACTCATATTTGATTCCAATGAATTGTTTGATGATTCTCAGTCATCTGTAATTGCAGTTATATCACACACATGAGACACATACATATTATGCATACATACATACATACATACATACATATCTAAATACATACATAGATTTTGAGATGTGAGCCCTGAGCTTCTGCTCCAGCTAAAACAAGGTCTGCCACCTGCTGCCTTCATTCTGCTATCACAGATTCTAGTTTTCTGAAAGCCCCCCAAGAACCCTTTCTTAAAAAGTGGCTTTGGTCATTTTTTAAATTAAATTTTGATTTTTTTTACATTAATTATATTCTATTTGCTTTGTATCCCAGCTGTAGCCTCTCCCTTGTTCTCTCTCAATCCCACCCTCCCTCTCTCCTTCATCTTTTCCCATGCCCCTCTATAAGTCCACCAATAGGGGAGGCCACCTCCCCTTTGAACTGATCATTGCTAATTAGGTCTCATCAGGACTGACTGCATTGTCCTCCTCTCTGGCCTGGCTAGACTGCTCCTTCCTCATCCTCACGAGAGAGCTGAGGGGGGTCAAAGGGACAGCCACTTAGTTCAGAGACAGTCCCTCTTTCCCTTACTAGGAAATCCCCTTTGAACACTGAGTTTCCATCGACTGCATCTGTGCAGGGGTTCTAGGTTACCATCATGAATGGATCGTGGTTGGAGTTTCAGTCTCAGAAAATACCCCTGAGTCCAGATAATTTGGTTCTGTTTCTTTACTTGTGGAGCTCCGGTACTTTTCAGGTCTTACTATCTACCTCTTCTTTCATATGATTCCCTGCACTCTGCCCAAAATATGGTTATGAGTTTCAGCATCTGCTTTGATATACTGCTTGGTAGTCTTTCAGAGGACCTCTGTGGTAGGCTCCTGTCCTGTTTCTTCTTCTTCTTCTTTTTTTTTTTTTTTTTGTTCTTCCTAGGTCCATTCCATTTGTCTTTCTAAGTGATGATTGATCCTCTTAACCTGGGTCCTCCTTCTTGTTTAGCTTCTTTAAGTGTACAGATTTTATTATGTTTATCCTATCTTATAGGTCTAATATCCACTTATAAGTGAGTATATTTCTTTGTTTTTAATTGCTGACTAGTATTCCATTGTGTTAATGTACCACAATTTCTGTATCCATTCCTCCATTGATGGGCACCTGGGTTGTTTCCAGGTTCTGGCTATTACAAATACAGCTGCTACAAACATGGTTGAACAAATGTCATTGTTGTGGACTTGAGCAACTTTTGGATGTATGCCTCGGAGTGCTATAGCTGGATCTTGAGGAAGCGCTTTTTCTAAGTGCCTGAGAAAACACCTCATGTGTTGTCACTTGAGTTTTTGATCTTAGCCATTCTGAAAGGTGCAAGGTGAAAACTCAAGGTTGTTTTGATTTTCATCTCCCTGATGACTAAGGATGTTGAGCATTTCTTTAAGTGTTTCTCTGCCATTCAATAGTCCTCTATTGAGAATTCTGTTTAGCTCTGTACCCCATTTTTGATTGGATTCCTTGATTTGTTGTTTTTTAACTTCTTTAAGACTATATGTATGAGCAGAGGGGCCAAGATGGTGGCACCGGGAGAACACCGTGTCTGAGAAGCAGGACAACACACTTCGTGTAGCGACCAGCAGACTGAACTCTAGACCCTAAAACAACAGCGATCGATCGTGTTTCCCAGGTGAGGGGAGGCTCCCATCGCGTGGGAATCGGTCGGGTCCACTCTCAGCTGCCCAGCCAGAACCCGGAAGAGAACCTGGCTAACTCGGGCTTAAGGTCTCCGGGCTGTTGCTCCAAGCCTGCTTGTGCCGATCACTTTCCCAGGCTGATTGGTGGGCTCAAGGGTGCCTGAGGCTGAGAGTACCAGTCGCAAAAAAAAAAAAAAAAAAACCCACGGGGAAGCAAAGTTGCCAGACGGGTCACCGGTCACCCAGTCTTTCCCTGGAAGGTCTCTCGAACCTCAGATACCTGCTGCCATCACAACTGAGCTCCCGCCGCGCACGGATTATAGCTGCACAGCTGCGCGCCCAACTCAAAATCCCTACTCCCTCTTCGGAGGAGGCAGGAGGCATCCAGCAGAATCTGCCACAGATCACATTGTCTGTACCTCAAACCGAGATCGGGCTGAGAAAACCCAATCCTTTCGGGCACTCCCCCAAACGCTGCCATAACCCTGTCGCAGCAGAGCAGAAGGATAAAGAGGCACACAGCGGCTTCACAGTGCTGGAACTCCAGTGCTACCGGCCGCTCCTAGCAAACAAACTACAGCTCGGGATCTGGGACTGTGGTCATTCTACACGTCCTGAGATTATCCTGGGTCCAGCGCAATAAGGTCTAGCAGCAAGTTCTATCACCGGCGCCCCTCCCCAACTCCTGGCAGAGAAACGCCGGCTCAGGGCTCAGGATCCGACTGAGAAGCCCCAACCTCTGCTGGCACTCTCCTGAGAGCACCTCCATAAGCTTGCCCAAGCAGAGGAGAAGGTCAGAGGGGAAGGACAGAGAGGCAGCCTGCTAAAAACACAGCACCCTCTCTCCAGCTCACCCAGCGGCCCCTAGCAGAGAAACCCAAGCTCTGGATCTGAGGACACTCAACCCTACCTGGTAAAGTCTTGGGATCAGCAAACATAGATTCTAACGCTAGGCGGCTTCTGGCAGAGAGATCTGGGCCCGGGATCTGGGATTAAGTACACTCATCCTAACTCTTTCCCGCGCCACCCAGGGACCAGTCAACATAACCCCTCCTGGCAGAGGGAAAGGACAAAGAGGCAGCACACAGGAAAGGTGGACACTGCGACCTGCAGCCAAAGTGTCACAGAGCTGACTGTTAGCCTGGCTGTGCACTTCCGAAGCAGGACCAAAACAGAGAGTAGTGAGCAAGGGGAAACCCTGTGCATTCCAACTGGTCCTGCAAGAGAGTGAGTGAGCCTTCTAGGGAGAGATTGCCCCAGACTTAGGGCCTCTCCACAGAAGCAACCAGACGAGATCCCTGCCACCCACACCCCTAGTGTGGGCATCATAGGGATTCTTGGGATAGCGACCCCAACATTGAAGCCTCTGCCTGCGGGTCCACCAGGGTAATCCAGGCAAACAATCCCTGGATCTCAGTCAGAACTGCGTAATAGTGGCTTGCAGGCCACTGCAATAGTCAGAGAATCCGCACATGCACACTGCGCCCGCTAAAAGCGCACGCAAATAGCGCCAGCGTCACATTCTTTATTTAGGCAAAACTGAAAACACAGTGCACACTCCCAAAGCAGTGAACCTCTCTCATCTTCCTGAAAAAACAGTCCAGAAAACAGAAAGAAAGGACCATAGCGCAAACTACAATCTTGAGGAACAACCAGTGAGGTTTATAAATAACCAGATGGCTAGAGGCAGACGTAAGAACACTTCCAACAAATCAGGACATAATGACCTCGCCAGCAACCCCACAAAACAATGGACACTTCAATTCACTAGATACACAAGAAAACGACCTCAAAACTATGTTTCTCCAGCTATTAGAGGCCCATAGAGATGAAATGAACAAAGCCCTCAGAGAAATAACCAAAGAAATCGAGACTAACCAAGAGGAAACAAATCGTGCTCTCAGAGAAATAACCACAAAAATTGAGGCAAACAGAGAAGAAATGCACAAAGCTCTCAAAGAAATGTCCACACAAATGAAGGCAAATAAAGAAGAAATAAACAAAGCTCTCATAGAAAAACAGGCAAATATACACAAAGAAGTAGAGGCACAATTAGTGATACATAGAGAGGAAACAGACAAAAAAATAGAAGCTATCATTGAAAAGCAGGAGTCCACATTCAAACAGATGAAGGAAATGGTGCAAGACATGAAAACAGAATTAGAATCAATAAAGAAAACACAAATAGAGAAAAACCAGGAGTTGGAGAACATAGAGAAAAGATCAGGCACTACAAAGGTAAGCATCACCAACAGAATACAAGAAATGGAAGAAAGAATCTCAGGAGCCGAAGATACACTTGCGGAAATTGACACATCTCTCAAAAAAAAATAAAATCAGAAAAGTTCCAAACACAAAACATCCAAGAAATCAAGGAAACCCTGAAAAGACAAAACCTAAGAATAATAGGAGTAGAACAAAAAGAAGACATCAGGCTCAAAGGTCCGGAAAATATTTTCAAGAAAATTATAGAAGAAAACTTTCCCAACTTAAAGAAGGAGATGCCATAAACATACAAGAGGCCTACAGAATACCAAGTAGACTAGACCAGAAAAGAAATTCTTCACGTCACATCATAGTCAAAACACTGAACCTACAAAACAAAGAAAAAACTCTAAAAGCAGAAGAGAAAAAGGCCAAGTAACATATGAAGGTAGACCTATCAGAATCACACCAGATTTCTCAACAGAAACTATGAAAACCAGAAGGGCCTGGACAGAA